ACGAGGCTGGATGGTCGCATGTTTCGACCACCTCCAAGGGTGGGCATGTGTTCAAAAAGTTTAAACCCATCATGTTTAAGGCCACGAGGCTGGATGGTCGCATGTTTCGACTACCTCCAAGGGTGGGCATGTGTTCAAAAATTTTAAACCCATCATGTTTAAGGCCACGGGGCTGGATGGTCGCATATTTCGACCACCCCCAATGGTGGGCGTGTGAATGAGAATGCATGATAAAATGAAATTATCCTAAGATCAGGTTATTCGAAAGAGCACGAGGTGAAGTGAATAAGATTCATCCTATATCAAAAGGCATCAAGTTAAGAGTACGAAAGAGTATTATGAGAGACAGAGACAAACTGAAAGCAAAACATTCCCATTTCAAGAATATTACAAAATCCATTACGGTACATAGTTTGATTCGAGAAAGACAAAACGAAAAATACAACGCTAATTTATGGTGGAGGAGCGGCGACGGAGTCTGCATTGCTCGAGCTGGCATTAGGGTCGAGCTGAAGGCCGGTACCAGAGGTCGAATCGCAGGCTTCATTAAGAGGACGTTGTCGAATAGATTCAGCCATTGCGACCAACATGGTAGTTGGAGGAGTAGTATCATCGGGCAGAGCGAAGGTCTTATTTAGAATTTCTGATCGGCCTAAGGTTCTTTCGAGCTGACCCGACCACCATTCATGCTCGGCTGGCAAGGAAGGGTCCCCGCGGAAGCTCGAGGGCACCTTGGGCAAAGCATCCCAAATAGCCAAGGGGTCGAGCTGCTCGAAATCATCTTCAGCAATTTGCTCCCCGGCCTTTTGCAGGGCAAACTGAAAGCAGTCTACCCCGAAATCTTGCAACTCCTTTAAGTATTGTGGCGACTGCATGAAGTCAGCCACCACTTGCGCGCGGTGTTCGCGGAGGAAGAGCTGCCCAGTGGTCGTCGCCCAAAGCATCTGCCGAGCTCGAAGAGCAGTGGCATTTGCATATCTTTGCTTCTCCTCAGCATGGGCAGCCCTTTCTTTGGCCAAAGTGGCCTCCATCTCAGCCCGAAACTTCTCTGCTTCAGCCCGAGCCTTTTCCGCCTCTGCTCGAGCCTTCTCCGCATCAAGTCGAGCCTTCTCTGCCTCAGCTCGAGCAGTCCGCTCTTGATCGAGCAAAGCCTCTTTTTCCTTCATGGCGGCCTCCTTCTCCGCCACGGCAGCCTCCTTGGCTACGAGAGCAGCATCTCTCTATGCGAGAGCCTTTCCTTTATTACTAAGTTCTTCGTCGAGAGATTTAATCTTGACGTCGAACTCAGTTTTCTGTTCCGTCTGTGTCTCGCGGAGTTTGGCATTATGCTGCAGGAGGGTCGAAATTTTGTTCTGCAGATAGCCAACGATGTTCTCGAGAGCTTTGATCGACTTGCCCGAGCTGTCCCGAGCTTCCTGGGCCAGTGGTAAAAAATCGACCAAGCCCTATCAACAAAGAAGACAAGGCAATTTAACGCATGAAGCGACAAAGAAAAAGGAGAAGAACCAAGGTAGAGTTAGAGAAGTAATACCTGAGCGAACCACTGCACGAGTTTGTCGCCAATCTCGGGCAGCGTGACGCCAGTCTTCTTGCGATCATCCTCGAGAAGGGCGCCCTCGAGGCGGTCGGCTACCTCATTAACGGGGGCCGACAAGAGAGATGTTGATCTCGGGGCTAGTGGATCAGAGGGAAAATAGCCCGCACGCCCCCGCTTGGCAACAATTTCGCCCTGCTCGGTTCGAGAGCGCTTGCCCAAGGCTGACTCACGCCCTCCGTCATCACTCTTGCCGGATTCGACCAGAGTTTTGGTCGATACGACGAGAGTGGTTTTGGAAGATTGTTGGACAAGGGGCAATTTTTCTTGGGTCTTGGTTTTAGAGGAAGTGTGGGGTTCGGAGGATTTATCGGCAATTTAGTTTTTAGGGTCTTTGGGATTGGGAGCTCGAGGACCTGTCCTCTGAGAGCGGTCGTCCGTTTTCTGATGATGGTCGATGGTCTTCTGACGATCATCGCCCATT